GCTGGTCTTGAACCTGCGGGTTCAGGCAATCCACTCACTCACCTTAGCCTCCCAAAGTGTTGGGTTTATAGACTGAACCACAGAGCCCGGCTGAAATTTGTATTTCTTTTTTTTTTTTTTTTTTTGAGTTGGAGTCTCACTCTGTCACCCAGACTGGAGTGCAGTGGCCGCTCCCAGCCACCGCAGCCTCGACCTGCTGGGCTCTGGCGATTCTTCCGCCTCAGCCTTCCAAGTAGCTGGAACTACAGGCGCGCACTACCACACCCAGCTAATTTTTTTTGATTTATTGTAGAGATGAGGTCTCGCCAAGTTACTCGGGCTGGTCTTGAACCCACGGGTTCAGGCAATCCACTCACCTTAGCCTCCCAAAGTGTTGGGTTTATAGACTGAGCCACGGAGCCCGGCTGAAACTTATATTTCTATATTCAATCTATATTTCTTAATCTATATAACATAGATTAATCTATATTTTTCCTTATATTTGTAATATCATTTGCCAGAAAATAAGATCTGTAAGATTTCAGTTTTCTGAAATCTGAGACTAGCTTTGCATCCTGACATGTGGTCAATTTCATACCTGTTCCATGTGTACTGAAAAGAATGTATCACCTGATAGTTGAATATAATGTTCTGTAAGTCTCCATTGGATCAAATTTGTTGTGTGGGATAGATCTTCTCTCTACCAATTTGTCTTGTACTTGATTTACTTATTTACTTGTCTCAAGATTTCACTATGATAATGGATTTCTACTGCTCATTACATTGTCACTATTTGCTTTTTCTTTTGGCTTTATTTCCAGGTGCATAGAATGCATTGAACAGAATTGTTCTATCTTTCCTAGTGAACTGAACTTCTGTAATTAGGTAGTGATTCATCTCTGTGAATGCTTTTTGTTATTGATACTTATTATAACAATGTTTTGGTTAGGCTTTACCTGGTGTATATTAGAACTTTCTTTAGCCTTTTGATTTTGCAGGAGACCCACCTAAAAGATAAAGCCAAAGAAAATCTGCCTTTTAAACTGGATAATCTAGTCCATTGATTTTTTTTTTTTTTTTTTTTTTTGAGTCGGAGTCTCACTCTGTCACCCAGGCTGGAGTGCAGTGGCACATTCATGGCTCACCTCAGCCTCCTCATGGGCTCAGGCAATCCTTCTGCCTCAGCCTCCCAAGTAGCTGGGACTACAGGCACATACCACCATGCCCAGCTAATTTGTACATTTTTTGTAGAGATGAGGTCTCACTATGTTGCCCAGGCTAGTTTTGAACTCCTGGGTTCAAGCAATCCTCTCACCTCAGCCTCCCAAAGTGCTGGGATTACAGGCGTAGTCCATTAAATACTCATTATGATTACAAGTATTGTTGGATTTTTTTCTAGGTCTTCATAAGTTATCTGTCCTTCCCCTTCTTGCCTTGGCTTTTTTACATTTTCTTTCTCTCCCCCCCATTTGTTGAATTTTAACTTTCAATTATTTTATGTATTTTTTTTCATTGAGATGGGATCTTACTGTGTTGCCCAGGCTTATCTTCAACTCCTGGGCTCAAGTGATCTCCCATCTCAGCCTTCCAGAGTGCTTGGATTACAGGTATGAGCCACCACAACGGGCCTATTATAGGTTTTTCTTACAAGTTGTTTGGTTTACAAATCTCTTCATCTTCTGTGCAATCTTTTGTTCCTTTTCCCATGGTTCTGTTTCTTTAAACGTCTTTTCCTGTGTTAATAGCAACACTGAGACTTTGTGGATTATCCGTTGCCTGTTGTTCCCTTGAGCTTGTGATACCTTAACCTTATTTTCCTTGGCAAATGATTTGAAGCAGAGATTGAAATTGAGATCCCTGAAGAATATTTGCTCTGCCCGAGATCCAAGGGCAACCAACCTGAGACCACTTTAAAGTTATCAGGTGACGGTTCTAATTTCAGATAACTTGTGGGATGGCGGCGTGCCTACTAGTGTGGGCCGAGTGGCGACTCGTGGCCCTCCATCCGGCACCAAGATCAAGGCAGGCAAGCTTCCTTCCCGCCTGCTACTCTGTGGCGGGCCTGTTAGGCCTGCAGCCCCGGTGGGCTGTGAGCCGTATGTCCAGGCCCCTCTACTGCTAGTTCAAGGACTCCGGAGTTCAAAAGAACTCACAGGCACAAGCAGGCTTTAGCACCAGCTTACCTCACAGGTTTCCTATTTTCTTTTTTCGAGTTGGAGTCTCACTCCGTCGCCCAGGCTGGAGTGCAGTGGCCGCTCCCGGCCACCGCAGCCTCGACCTGCTGGGCTCCGGCGATCCTTCTGCCTCAGGAAGGATCTACTTCTGAGTAGCCGGAACTACAGGCGCGCGCTGCCACGCCCGGCTGATTTTTTCTGATTTGTTGTAGAAATGAGGTCTCGCCAAGTTGCCCAGGTGGGTCTCGAACCCGCGGGCTCCCAAAGCACGGGATTACGGGCTGAGCCACCAAGCCTGGCTGGGTTTCCTATTTTCATTTCATTTTTGGAGTTCTGCATATTCCTTGCTTTTGTGCCAACTCAGTGATACATTTAAAAAGATACTTCACATTATTCAATTAACCTATTACTTCACATTATCTCTCATATGCTATTCAGCATTTGGGACTTGGTTTTGTTTTGGAGTCAGAGTCTCACTGTCGCCCAGGCTGGAGGGCAGTGGCATGCTCCCGGCCACCACAGCCTCAACTGCTGGGCTCCGGCGATCCTTCTGCCTCAGTCTTCCAAGTAGCTGAAACTACAGGCACGTGCCACCATGCCCAGCTAATTTTTTGATTGTGGAGATGAGGTCTTGCCAAGTTGCCCAGGCTGGTCTCAAACCAGTGGGCTCCCAAAGTGCTAGGATTATAGGCGTGAACCACCGCGCACAACTAACATTTGGGTTTTTTTAACCTGGAGGTGGCGGGGCGGGGTATCTAGGACGCCTTACTCTCGGAAATGAAGTCTGGATCAAAATTTGTTTGCCCTTTAGGGTATGTGGTGCTTTGTCGTCTACGTTGTTACAGGATGCCTGGCTCACTCCTCCGAACAGTTCTGCAAGACAGCACTTTCATGGTGTGGAACTTGCAAAGTTGGAAAAACATAGAAAGAAATGCTTTTCAAAAGATATACTCTTCTTCTACAGGAAAAAATGTCTCTGCCATTTCCTTAAATGGTCCAAACATTGTGTTGACTAATGGCGGCTTTGGTCTGAAAAAAGAATCTGATTTCTTTAAACCTAATATTGGGGAATATATATGCCTGAATGAACCTCTTTGGCATACCTGACCTGGCTGAAAGGCAGTTTCTGTTATGACTTGTCTCTGTCCAGCTACTTGTTTTCAACCAACTACCCAGTGTTCAAGGCTCAGAAATGTCTTTCACTTGGATGCACTCTGAAATTAAGCCTGGAAAACAGGTGCAAAAGACACAAACCTCACACTGCTTGCTCTTAGAGGACAATCAGGGAAGACCCAAATTATACCTTAAAGAGGCAAAGGCTGGGCTCGAACGCTCACACCTGTCATCCCAGGGCTTTTGAGAGACCGAGGCAGGAAGATTACTTGAACCCAGGAGTTTCAGACCAGCCTAGGCAACATAGCAAGACTTCATCTCTCTATAAAAAAAAATTGTACCGGTAAAAAGCAAAATTTTTGTCATGGTATCAGAATTTTATAGTCTCAAGTGTATTTCTGAAGATGGTAGAATTAACTGTTAACATGCAATCTGCACCCCTAAAGCTATGTTTCTACAGACAGTACCAGCACATACTTCACTGACTTTGACTCTTCCGCATGAACTCCGGCAAAGGAGATCTTACAATATGTTGCCTTTTACACGCAGGGCAGGAGACAGGCCCTGGAGTAAGGTCAGGGAATGCTGTTACTGTACCATTAGGCACACTTTTATCTGTAAAGGCGATGACCAGAAGCCAGAGAAGCAAATCCATGCCAGTGCCATCTGCAGCCTGATTTCCTTCAAACTGGGAACAAAAAGCACGGTATGGAAAGGTTTGTACAGCTGCCAGTATAAAGGCTGTGCTGCACATCTACTCTGATTTAGGTGGTGCCATCTTCTACAACTGGTGATTAGTACAAAGCTTTTACAAATGTTTGAGCACCTTTTCTGATGAAGTTGAGATCTGAAGGATGAATAAGACTCAGCTAGGCAGAGGGAAGAATTGTATGTCTGAGGTCATGGCAGGCAGATAGGGAGAGGCAAAGAATTTGGCAGAATCAGCCAAGATGAGACCAGGGTGGCTGGAGCATACCAAGTGAGAGGAAGCTGAACTTAGTAAAGTGAGCAAAAGCAATCTCAAATTAAAATGGAAATCTTCTAGGCCGGGTGTGGTGGCTCATACCTGTAATTTCAGCGCTTTGGGAGGCTGAGGTGGGAGGACTGCTTGAGGCCAGGAGTTCAAGACCAGCCTGGGCAAGATAGAAAGACCTTGTCTCCACACACACACACACACACACACAAAAACAACAATACATCTTTTTCAGACAGTGCAGTTCCTTGAAAAGCAAAGTTAGGGTTCCATTTTTTACTCATGAGCACACTAAACGACTTAATATGAGTTTAAGTTTAATATATACAAATCACTAACTTATATAAATCAATATATAAGTTGCCTAATTCAGGGAGACCAAAAATATGCATTTAAAATAGGTTTATGGTATAGACCCAGAGACCCCCAACCCCCAGGTCACCATCGCTCGCATTACCACCTGAGCTCCACCTCCAGTCAGGTAAGCGGCACCACGAGATTCTCGTAACAGGAACCCTATTGTGAACTGCACATGCAAGGGACCTAGGCTGCGTGCGTCTTATGAGAACCTAACGCCTGATGGTCTGAGGTGGAGCTGAGGCGACGATGCCAGTGCCGGGGAGCGGCTGCACATACAAATTAACGGCAGCAGTGAAGTTTGACTGCACAGAGACCCCCATAGCTCAAGTGCTTACAGACTATCAAAACCCTATCAGTCAGTGGCAAGTAAGTTGACAGACTTCAGTCATACAGCTGCATCTGGCGGCAGGCTTTAAATCAGAACCTGACATTTATTTTCGTTCACGCACGGCCCCACCCATTATTTACCATTTCCATCCACACCTCCTTTTTTAAATGAGTTGTAAAATTATTTCAATATATATTACAATGTAGTCATAATAGAAATGCAGTGCACAATCAATGCTACGCACTTGAATCATCCTGAAACCACCACTCCCGCCACCCCATCCATGGAAAATTGTCTTCCACGAAACCGGCCCCAGATGCCAAAAAGGTTGGGGACTGCTGGTATAGACCTTACCCAGTATCACTTATTTGAATGACTTAGTGTATTTTATCACAGAAAGCAACAAACATTGTCTTATTTTGGACTGCTGATACAATCTAACCACTTTCCTTAAGAGAAATACATATATATTTTAAAACCTTGCAGTGCAAGATTTCATTCTTGGCAAATGGTAGCAGCTATTTTGTTCACTTTACATGCCTCATTGCTATTGCTGTAGAAATCCTTTTAGTTGGGTCCTCATACCTATATTCAATTAGAATTTGTAAAGGTAACTGGTATTCCTAATTTAGCCCACCAAGGCAATCCAGAAAACAGGCACATGTCTTTGAGAAAAGGAAAACACTGCACAGATAGTACACTATGGGAGGAAAAGAAATACAGATAGCTTCAAACACCATCACATTGAAGGATATGACTTTAGGAAGGCAGCATTTAAAAATATACTCAAGCATCTCCATTATAATGAGTACTGAAGGGGACAGACAGAAGCTACCCAAGTACCTTCTTCTACCTGGAACGTACTCACTGAAACCCACTTTTCTCTTAGATACTCATAGAAACAGTATTTACAAAATTCTAAAATACACCTTTAGGTGAACAGAAAAGCATGCATGCTTAAGAAGTTCCAAGGGAGAAATGTGACATTACATGCACTAAGGGCCAACGAAGACACCAACACCAGGACGTCATGCGCCTGACACATAGGGAAGGTCCATCTTCTTTCCCGTGAGAGGAAGCCCAAATTGCCCGAAGGTGACCTCACTTTACCTAAGAGTCAAGTTTTAGCACCAGTAGCAAATTATTAAGTTCAGAAATTTGTTTTAGTATATACTGATTTAAATTTTAAAACTGTCAAGTTCCTTTTTTATCTTGATTCTTTATTCAAACATAACCTAATCTTTAAACTAATTCTAGAGAAAGAATCTGATAACCAAAGATCAAGGCTTTTATCAGTTATATAGTGACATACTGCCTGGATCAAGTGGAAGATGTTTCAAAAATACACCATATGTAAGTATCAGAAGCCTTAAAATTTTGCATATCTGGCAATCCAGCAATTCTCCTAAGAATGTAAGAAAAGAGTCATGGATGTACACAAGATTCTGTGAAGTGTTGTTTATAACTGTGAAAAGATGTAAATAGTCAAAATGTCCAATAGAGGATTAAATAAGTTAAGATTCAGTCATACAACAGAATAACAAACCAATAAAAATGATGCAGAAGACTATGCGTGACCTGGAAAAGATATTCACAGTATATTGTTAAGTGAAAAAAGCAGGTTACAAAACAGTATGCACAATATGAGCCCATTTTTTATAAAAATATACATATTTAGCAAAGTAAAAGGACAAATGATATTTATCAAAATATTAACACTGGTCATTTCAACATAGTAGGATGATTGTTGATTTGCTTAACTACGCCCCTCCTTTCTCCCAATTTGAATTTTCTATAATGAACATTATTTTTTAAATGGGGCCTAGGAGGTGAGGGAGTTATTAACCTCAACTTGGCCAAGAACGCCCCCCAAAGCCTCCTTCTGGCAAAGTACATGTTTCTGCTCAGCCTGTCCCTGGGAAACTGCTTTTACCTTATAAATCCGAGTGTCCTTCAAAGATGATATTCACTCAAACGTCCTTTTAGGCAAACTGTACAACAGCAATTTTTGATATTAAAACTTAAAAAAAAACCCTCAGGTTAATTAACACCAAAGAGAATAGATGAGAAAATAGAAGTCTTCACTTTTTAAAAGAGAAACAATCCAAGTACATACTACTAAATTATACAAAGTTACATATCTCAGTGTAGTTTATTGCAAAGGTCAAGACAGCACACTGGAAGTCCGCGGCTTCAGTTTCCCACTGCTCACAGCACTCACTCTTCTCTGTTCCATTCACTCACTGTGCAGAGGATCTGTGCACACAATGATGTCTGATGCTTCTTAGTTCCCATGTTTAATAGGAAACGTAACGTTTCAATTAGAAAGGTAAAATGAGGACATTTACATCAGACTATAAGACTCCTCTTCTGAAAGAGGACACGATAGTACTTGAAAATATGCTTTGAAAAAATCCTGTACAAATAAAAGGGGCACCATCTCAAAAGCGCTAGGACTAAATTAAACTTAAGTGAATTCCAACACTCGCAATAACGTAACTCAAAAACAAATCTAGTCTTAACAAAAGCTCCAGTAACTAAAACTACAGTAACAGGCACAATGAACAGTGTAAACACTGTTAATGGGCACCAAGTTTAATAGGGCAGACAATATTTGCTTCTGCATTCACACTTACTCAACTACATTTTTTTTTTTAATGGTGCTGCTTAAGCTATGAATGTTTTACCAAAAAAATTTTTTTAATAAATATGGCAAATGCTAAAAATCTAGCTAGGTTATCATGCAAGATACATAACCAAGACAAACTCAAATTTATAATAAAGGCAACTTGCATTCAAAATGAACACTACCCCTTATATTTTATTAAAAGGGCAAACATCATGAATTAACCCAGCTGCTTACTTGAATTACAAAAGTAACATGATTCAATATGAAAATAAGAAACTGTCTACAAATCTCTGACAGTAATAAATTGCAATATACAATGCATACAGGAGTCATACAGAGCAACAAACTCTTGTACAAAACAAAAATATTTTTAATACCTCTAAAATCCAAATTTTTCTTTAAAACCATTCATGAAAAAGATTCTCAAGTCAGAATTAACACCTCAATTAGCCAAGCATCAGGAAGCTACATTACAGCTAATAACGTACAAAGAGACATCTTTTCACCAGTCATTTTCCTAGATGTCTCTGTTCCAGAATCATACACTCTCGCCTCTCCACGCTCCCCATTCCATCATTTCTTCAGATCATGAAAACTGAATTTGCTGAACACCAGAAATCTATGATTAGAAAATTTAAATTGGGCAGAATTAAAGAAAAAAGGTTAAAAGTAACATATGCATATTATAAACATTCAGTGAATACAAGTAACAGGCAATGACAAATAAGTCCACTTCCTACTTCAGACCTCCCTCCACCCTACAATATTTCTTGTGAATCTCTCTAGAATCTTCTATGCAATATAAACATATGTTTGCATTTTTAACCATTAAGAGAATGCTATGTACATTGAGAAAACAATTTTCAATAACCTTCCTTATTTTATCAGGTTCTTAATATTACGTTGAAATTCACTACCTATGATTTAAAAAAAAAAAAAAAAATCAATGGATATAATCAATTTTTTAAATAGTTTAAAACACAAAGAAGGTACTGTACCTGTTGATATGATGTTGTATAAACCATAACATTTTGTTGTTGACCATCTGTGGTTATTAAGCCAGCTGGTAACTGGTTAGCTAAAAGACAAAAAAAAATTTTTTTTTTAAGTTAAAAAAGGAAAACAACTGCATTTACTTTCTTGGCCTGAACCTTAAGCTTGCGCCATTAATGTCTCATTACAATTCTGCCATTTATCAATGATGTAATTTTGGGCAAAATCATAAACCCTCTAACTTTCCATTTTAAAAAGAATTCCAGCCGGGCTCAGTGGCTCAGCCTGTAATCCCGTGCCTTTGGGAGGCTGAGGTGAGTGGATTGCCTGAGCCCATGGGTTCGAGACCCACCTGGGCAGCGAGACCTCATCTCTACAATAAATCAAAAATTAGCCAGGCGTGGTAGCACATGCCTGTAATTCCAGCTACTCGGAAGGCTGAGGCGGAAGGATCACTGGAGCCCAGCAGGTCGAGGCTGCGGTGGCCGGGAGCGGCCACTGCACTCCAGTCTGGGCAACAGAGTGAGACTCCAATGCCAAAAAAAAAAAAAAAAAAAATTCCCTAAAAGGCACATTTTTTTCTATTGCAGGTTTCAATTTTCTGAATTTTCGCCTCTCTAAAATGTACTTTAGCTAATTGTGCGTGTGTACAAACCTGTAGAAGGACTGGAGGAAGCTTCTGATTAATGGTTAGATTTACACCACACTGTGGCTTGGCTGGGAAACATATAACTTAGTAGCGAATATTTTACATATGAGAAAATAGGTATATATGAGAAATATACTCACTACAGACCTTTTATTTTGCAAATATGACCAACTCACCAAGGTTTTTTTTTTAAGCACAAGATTTATATTACACTCTACCATGCTTCAATATTCCTATCTCATGTGAACTGTCACCAAAAACGAACTCAGAACTACTGGTGAAAGGTTATCATGTCTGCAGAGCGCAAATTTTCTACACTTTATCACTCACTGACTTCAACTATATGGGCATGAACTAATAAGTACTATTTAAAACAGTGCTATGTCAAAGTACTCAGTGCTGACATTCTAAAAATACCACGACAGACATTTAGAACGAATCTAGAATGAATTGCGGCCAGCCATCTCCACGACTCGTGTCATAATGCTGCTTACTAAATGCCTCCTCTGTCAGCTCTTCACCAAGTCCATCTGTAGCTGTGACTGCTCCACCGATGCCCTTCTCTCCTTTCATGGCCTGGGCAAGGAAAACAAAAACCCAGACCCAAAAGTCATTGGTCTTCAAACGAAACTGTCTTCCAAATGAGAATGCTTGCTTATTGCCTAAAATTAGGAGTGTGTATTATTACACTAAAAAGAGTATTTATTAACACATCTGGTTAATTACATATGAAGAAGCCCTTCAAAATGCTAACTTTTTATATAAGTAGTAATCACTATAAGATAATGTCAGTAATGACCTAGAAAACATAAAGTATTTATGGATACAAACAAATTACTCTAATTTCACACCGCAAAAGGATAAGAGAACTCTACTTTATAGATAAAGAAGTCTGGAAAATACCATAAATATGCAGCTCATCAATCTACTACAAGTGTTCCAAGTTATCACTCAAGTACTCATATGGCTCTCGGCCAACTGGGCAGTACCACAGCAGTAAGCTGAGAGTCAAAAGTCCCTAATCAAAATTATGGTTTGGACCAACTACAAGGTTCTATGATACCCAAGACTTGGAAAAGTACTGTGAAGAATTTATACATTCTCTCCCCAATTCAATCATTCCATGCAGATATAATTTAAGGGGTTCCTGACACCAAAGACATTAATAATATATTGTGACAGCAGTGTGAATCTGACACCCAAGCAGAAATAAATATGCTGAACTCAGGCCAGGTGCAGTGGCTCACGACGGTAATCCCAGCACTTTGGGAGGCTGAGGCAAGAGGACTGCTTGAGCCCAGAAGCCTCAAGACCAGCTAGGCAACATAGCGAGATCTTGTCTGCATAATAAATTCAAAAAATTAGCCAGGCACGAGGGCCTGACCCTGTAGTCCCAGCTGCTCAGGAGGCTGAGGCCGAAGGACTGCCTGAGCCCAGGAGGTCGAGGCTGCAGTGAGCTGTGATCATGCACTGCACTTCAATCTGGGTGACAGAATAAGACCCTGACTCAAAAATAAGTAAATAAATAATGCTGAACTCCTCATTCTCAGAAAATTCACACCTGTAGGCAAAGAAAAACCTAACAGGAAATACAGAAGTCAATCAATAATAAGAAAGGGATATAATTGTAACTTCTCTTTATTATTTCAAAGGCCCAAAGCTTAGAGATGCTACCTCTTTTAAATTAACACTACCAGCAAGAAGTAACATTATCAAACACTGAACATTATTTACTTGGTCCTCTTAATAATTCTGTGACATGGGTACAATGAGCCTCTCGTTACAAAAGATGAGGAAACCAGAGCTTCCAGTCCTTAAGTCATCTGCCCATCATCACAGAATTTGCATCTGGCAGAGCAGGGATGCAGCCTCCAGGCCGTCTGCATCCAGAGTTTGGGCTCTTAATCATTACACAACTATGCTGGCGTGAGTAATTAACAAAGGGAAAAAGAAAAGACATACTGTTTACTACAACGGATTAAATACCTCTGGAAAATGTTACATAATTTGCTACAAAATGAATTTAGCAAATGATACTGTTAAAAAAGTTAACGTGAATGGTGCATCTTATTCTCTCAAAAGCATAATGGGAGACATTTCACTTACTTACCTCTCTGAATTTCTGAAGGTATAATTTCAGAGGCTCCACATAACTATCGAAGCCCAAAGTAGACATGGCAAAGAGAATATCTTCTCCATTGATTGTTTTCCGTTTCTCTTGGTGGCATCTTTCACTTGCCTCGGATGTTATAAAGCTGATGAACTCACTCACACATTCTTGAACACATTCTTTGGCATCTTTTGCGATCTGAAGAGAAAAATCATGTGTAAATTTGCAGAGAATATAGCCATCACATTCCTAACCACCTGCAAAAATGAAAAGGCTGTTCAGAAGAACACATCTTTCAGTTCATGACTATCAACCTTTAGTCCCTGAAATATAAGCTAGTAACAACACAAGGTATGCCATCAAAATTCCAACCCTCAGAGTCAGAATAAAAACTTGAATACAAGTGACAGAAGCCGTGACAACGAATGGCAGAAAACAATATATTTAGATTTAAAAGAGCACTCACTGGATAGTCCTACCACCTCATACAGGATGAAAACATGTACTAACCAAGTGCCCTAGAAAATCAAGCCCATCGTGTATATACTGTGAGCCACAGACTCGGGCACCTAGCATTTTCTGCCCTAGCATTTCCATGAACAAGAACAGCAGAAAAGGAGAAACAAAAACTCAAAAGCCAAATGCACATACAGCTTAGAAGAGAGTCGAATAATGACACACGGTGACTTTCTCATTATTGAGGAGACACAGTGTCAGTCACGGGATTTGAGTTGATTAAAAAGCCCGCCTAAAGAAGCACACTCCTGCCGCCTCATTCCAAAACAACCCTTCCCTTAAGGGTCTGGGGTCTGAAAACCAAATTCTCACAGATTAAGCAGGAAATCCCAGGGGTGCTTATAATAGGACCACTACTCAACATCCTTGCTGAAACACACTTCCACTTCCATGCCTGTTTTACTACTGGAGAAAGTAAACAAGAGTTGCATAAATGCAGTCGAGAAAGACAATACAATGTGAGCCACGTACATAATTCTAGATGTTCTAGTAGCTATGTCTCAAAAAAGAATTAATATATTTATTTTACTTACTCAATATATCCAAATTATTATCATTTAATATTATCTTTTTTTTTTTTTTGAGTCAGAGTCTTACTCTCACTCAGGCTGGAGTGCAGTGGCATGCTCACAGTCACCACGTCCTCAACCTGCTGGGCTCAGGTGAGCCTTCAGTCACAGCCTTCTAAGTAGCAGAACCACAGGCACACGCCATCATGCGCCTAGCTAATTTTTTAGATTTACTGTGGAGACGAGGTCTTGCCAAGCTACCCAGGCTAGTCTCAGGTAATCCTCTCGCCTCTGTCTCCCAAAGTGCTGAGATTACAGGCTAGAGCCAATTTTACAATGAGATATTTTAATTCTTTTTTTCATACTAAGTCTTCAAAATCTGATTCATTTGTACTTGCAGCCTCTTCAGGTCATCTGGTTATGTTTCCTGTGCTCCCAGCACACACACACAGCCCGTGGCCACGGTCCCAGCCACTGTAGGCCTTCGCCAACTAAGCAGTCATCAGCGGTTGTGTTTTTTTACCCTCAAAACAAGGAAGACTTCACAAATTGGAACTTCTAGGCTCAGGGATGTATTTCAGCAGTACATTTATTTGTAAGCCTTATTACTCTCCTAAGTACTTTTATAAACTATAATAAAATTATAGAAAAGTTACTATGCAATGGAAAATAATATGAAAGGTATGAATTTTAATTCAGACCAAGAGATGAGTAGTGACAGTGAGTTTTTTGTTGTTTTTTGAGTTGGGGTCTCATTCTGTCACCCAGGATGGAGTGCAATGTCATGATCACAGCTCACCACAGTCTCAAACTCCTGAGCCCTGGCTCCTCTCCTACCCCAGCTTCCCCAATAGCTGGGACAATAGGTGCTCACCACCACACCTGGCTAATTTTTTTTTTTTTTTTTTTGTAGAGACGAGGTCTCACTATGTTGTCTCGACAGTTTGGTCTCGAACTTCTGGGCTCAAGTAATCCTCTCACTCGGTTTCCCAAAGTACTAGGACTATAGGCATGAGCCAGTGAGCCCGGCCAAAAATGAGTTTTTAAAAGTTGTTATAAGACAAAACTACTTTAAAAAAAAAAAAGAACCAGCCAGTCTTGGTGGCTCAGCCTGTAAACCCGCGCTTTGGGAGGCTGAGGTGAGTGGATTGCCTGAGCCCGCGGGTTCGAGACCCGCCTGGGCAACTTGGCAAGACCTCATCTCTACAATAAAAAAACCAGTCAGGCGTGGTAGCACGTGCCTGTAATACCGGCTACTCAGAAGGCTGAGGCGGAAGGATCGCCGGCGCCCAGTGGGTCAAGGCTGCGGTGGCCGGGAGTGGCCACTGCACTCCAGTCTGGGCGACAGAGTGAGACTCCAACTCAAAAAAAAAAAAGAAATGTATGTTAACATTTATAATTATGTAAAAATAGCTATTTCTAAATATCAGAATTTTGGGGGGGATGTGGGGGGAAGTGAATCCTTACTATACCTCTATCAGTCCAAAAGGACCAAAATTTGCTGCAACATGGAAGTTAAAACTTCATATGACCAAATCTGGTAGTTCCAACAATGTACCTACCTAGGTCTAAAAATATTCTTTTTGGGGGTAAGAAATGTCTTATTTTAAAGATGTGGGGTACAATTCAGGGCACAAAAGACTCTTGATTCTATTTCTCTAATTCACATAAGGGGGAGCATTTGGGGACATGATGGAACCGAGGTGGAATACCGTTCGGTAAGTGGGTGTGTGGAGATGGAAGACAGATTTGACCTGCTGAAAGCCTGAAGGAGCGAAATCAACAGCTAGCTGGATTCATGAGCTAAGTATTCACACAGTGTTACAGTCCCTCCCCCCACAAAACCCTACATATATCTTCTCCATATTACCTTTCCCGTTTGAGGTATGGCATTTTTCATTATCCTAGCCACATTTGCAATTGGGAGATATATATCTTGTTCTCTGAAACTTTCTTTTGAACCATTTGTGTCTTCGTGATCATTCATGCTGTCCTCAGTATCTAAAGAAATAAAAATATTTCAGTGTAAAGTTTCTCATAATTTTTATTTTAAGACAGAAAAGACTACCTGAAATGACCCAGAATAAGAACCAGCTGGTTCACCTCCTGACCCTTTTTTAGACATCAGAATAGCAGTCCTCTTCCATTTGTGCAGGGTCAGAACTGAACTTATTCGTTAATTTCAAACCCCACAACTTAAAATACTTTTTTAAGTTCTTGTTTTTTGTTTTTGAAGACAGGGTCTCACTCTATCGCCCAAGCTGGAGTGCAGTGACGTGATCCTGACTCACCACAGCCTCAAACTCCTAGGCTCAAGTGATTCTTCTGTCTCAGCCTCCTAGGCAGCTGGGACTACAGGCATGTGCCACCACACCCAGCTAATTTTTGTATTTTTTTGTAGAGATGAGGTCTTACTATGTTGCCCAGGCTGGTCTCAAACTCGTGGGCTCAAGCAATTCTTCCGCCTCGGCCTCCCTAAGTGCTAGGATTACAGGCATGAGCCACCACGTGCAGCCCCACTACTTAAAATCCTCTTATCCTCAACTATGCCCACTAAAATGCTACCTGCCTATTCCCAATTAACACTCAAATAACATCTCCACAGCATTTTCAAAAGTGAGTTCTCCTTTCTTTTTTTTTTTTTTTTGAGTTAGAGTCTCACTCTGTCGCCCAGACTGGAGTGCAGTGGCCGCTCCCGCCCACCGCAGCCTCGACCTGCTGGGCTCCGGTGATCCTTCGGCCTCAGCCTTCCAAGGAGCTGGAATTATAGGCATGCACTACCACGCCCGGCTGATTTTTTGATTTCTTGTAGAGATGAGGTCTCGCTGCCCAGGCGGGTCTCGAACCCGTGGGCTCAGGCAATCCACTCACCTCAGCCTCCCAAAGGCGCGGGATTACAGGCTGAGCCACCGAGCCCGGCTAGAGTTCTCCTTTCTTAAAGTATTAGAAGTGCTTCTCTATGCCTTTTTTCTTATACATTTTATAGTTCTTTTTATTTCCCGTTAGATTTTTGCTGCTTGATGCCAGGGATCAGCTGTGCAGCTCCTAAGACTTGGTAAGTACCTTCCACAGAGGAGGTACTCATAAACAGTTACTGCACAACTTAGCTCTAAGACTTACGGACTATAACCTGTGACCTCAAATATTGCTACATTGAGAGGGTGTCTGCTAATCCAAAGTCAAGTTCATATAAACCTGTTTATGTAAAGTTTACATAAACATGTCTACATAAAGTTTCGATCAAATTGTACATAGAATGGAGAAACTGGATTGGCATGTGACTGCCCCAGTTGGATTACGAATATAACTAGTTTTTGAACAAAGAGACTGCAGGGATCTAACTGCTCCTATCCAAAGGGAGTTTTCACATTGTTTGGACCGAGATATAACTGAAGCTTTCCCAGTACCAAAACCTCCTTTTGTGACTGAATGCAGGATCTTGGAAGTAAACGCCCACTCCTCATCTATACCAAATAAATAAGCAAGGCACTTAAGTTGATTCCATTTATATTTGTATGTGTTTAACATGTTATCAAAATTAATTTACTTGAATCTCTATTTTAGAATGAAACAATTAACCTGCCCTGCAGGCATCTTCTAAAGATATATCTCAATTTTTCTTAATTTTACAAACCAAAATGCCACAAAAGTGAATTATTACTGATAGGCCAACATAAGACTGTCATTCTAATAACCGACATAATTCAAAGTTAAATGAAAACCAAAAATAAATCTGTACATAAGTAGAATAAATGTAATAGCTAGTCATTTAATTTACCCTAAACGACTATTTTATTTACTGTATGGATTGAGAATTTCTCATATTTAATACTTAAATAGAAAACTGATGACAAATTTTAAAAGAAAGTGTACAAGTTTTTTTTAAAGGTATACTACTTTTATATTAAAATTATTTTCTAGGACTCATCACTCTTTGGAAGACTATTTCTAATAAAAATAGCATGATGTGTCTTTTTAGACCTTTTCACTGAACTGTAACACGATTGCTCATTTTTCTGTAAAGACAAAAGTAACCTAGACCCCATATTAACAAGCTGTTCCTTCTAGCTTGTTTGTGCTTATGAGCGTGGCTCTGATGGTGGCTTTCTTACCGTCGTGCGGCTGTATAACATAGTGACTTCCTTCAATGTAACCTGCAGAGATCCCCAGCTGAGAAGCGTCTGTTGTGGAGCTGTCACCATCCATCTTAGGAGGAAAAAATCATTCTTTAGTACTCTTCAGTGAAAGTACCAACAAACAAAATAGTCAGTGCTCATAAACTGTCACAGGTTGGGTCAATTACATTTTTCATAGCCTTAAGCTTACTAAAACACTTATATTTCTTTTTTTTAGAGACAAAGACTCATTCTGCCACTCAGGTTAAAACACTATGGTGTTTGATGGTATAGCTCACTGCAGTCCTGAACTCCTGGGTTCAAGCGATTCGCTCACCTCAGCCTTCCGAGTAGCTAGAACAATAGGCGTGCACCAATATACCCAGCTGCTTTCTAAAAAATGTTTTTGTAGAGATGAGGTCTGGTTATGTCGCCTAGGCTGGTCTCAAACTCCGAACCTCAAGCAACCCCCCTGCCTCAGCCTCCCCAAAAGTGCCAGCATTAATATTTATGTTTCATTTTTTGTTTGTTTTTGTTTTTTGTAGAGACAGGGTCTCACTATGCTGCCCAAGCTGGTAAAGTGATCTTCCCAGCTTGGCTTTCCACTTATAGGCATGAGCCACCACACCTGGCCTAATATTCATATTTCTCTCTTTTTTTCTTTTGAGTCACTGTCTTGCTCTGTCACCCAAACTGGACATCATGGCTCACTGCAGCCTCGAACTTCTTGGCTCAAGCAAACCTCCTGCCTTAGCCTCCTGAGTAGCTGGGACTACAGGCGTGTGCCACCATGTCTGGCTAATATTTTAATTTTTTGGTAGAGACAGGATCTTGCTATGTTACCAAGGCCTTGAATTCTTGGCCTCAAGCAGTTCTCCTGCCTCAGCCTCCCAAAGTGCTAGGATGACAAGTGTGAGCCACCACACCCAGTCTTATACTTCTTGATTTGGAAACTATTCTACAATGTGCCAATTAGTCAAGGTTTTCCTATCTATCTTCCATAAGTGATTCTACAGTCCCAGCTACTCAGGAGCTGAGGCAGGTGCACTGCTGAAGCTCAGTAGTTCAAGACCAGCCTGGGCAACATGACAAAGACTCTTGTCTCCAAAGGAAAAAACAATCAGCTTCGTCATCGACGGGAAGTCACCCATCTTCATCCCTTGCAGCTCTCCTGCTGGAGTCTGACTTTGCTATGCAAACCCTCTTGCTCCTCCTGCAAACCTCCTTGGGTGCTTCACAGAGGTTCCAAAACAGACAATGCATCCTTTCAAACTGTGGCTCCCTATGAGCGACACAGGATTCCCTGAGCAACTCTGTACCCATGCAACCCAAAAGTACACCCACGTTTTGAATGAACCCATCGCCTCTGATTCTAGTCAAAGCTCAACTTTCTCCCCCGAAAAAAAAAAAAAAATTTCTGACTCTTTACAGTAAAAAAGGATGGGTCAGGAAAATTGGAATCTGGATATAAAGACAGGAAATTTACAGCCACAGAAGAGAATGAGACTTCAAATGACTACTTTTAAAAAAGTGTGCTTAATTAACTTCGCTTAGAGCAAAAAAATTCCGAGACAAAATCTGAAAAAAAGGTTAATCATAAGCCTTAAACCAACTCAATTCAGCAACAAGACAGGCTTTAAGCTTTGCAAATATTACTACTCACAACACTGGTCATCTGAAAGTAAAACTATTTAAAAGCATTATCTGAATAAAAAGTGCAGCAAAAATTAAGTGTAATTCACACATACTTTCAGGCTTAACAAAGTGCCACTTGATGCTTTATTAAGGCCCAGGACCAAGCACCAAGTCCATGTAATTAATTGCAGTCTTTCAGTCCTTATATAACATGTCGTCCTCTCCATCTCTGTTGGATTTTTATCTGATATTAAAATACTGGGCTAGTTTCCAAGTCTTCAATAACATGACATTTATTTCATGCATCTGTTGACTATGATGTCTGATTTAACTGTAGATAGAGATACATTTCCATAATTTACATGGTTGTTTTAAGGAGATAGAAAATAAAATTTATATGCCTTTAATAATTTGTGAAAGCACAGGTACTTATTTACTGAGAGTTTTTAGTGACCTGGTTCCCACTCTCTTACTTGATCTCCTGAAAACACGCATTCCTGCCAGTTAAATATACTTCAAATAAATTGGAAATAACAATACCACCCTCCCCATCTTACACTGACATAAATGAATGTGAAACATTGCCCAAAAATAAAATCCTACTTTGATTCTAAAATGCTAACAAGATGCAGGGCAAATGGTCTCCAACGGACATGATGATGGATTTATTGCAGCCATGTGCAAATGGACAACCAGGACAGCTGTGAGATGACTAGGTTTTACAGTGACCCAAGGAAGATCAAGGTGCAGGAGACAGGACTCAAGTGGTTGTTTCAGAACCTACAACTGCAAACAAAGCTTTTTTTGGCAGAGCGAGGAAGGAACAAGTAACAAAAATTATTTGCCGAATGAATGTCCACAGGATACCATAAGTCTTTTAAAATTAGCTGATGAGCAGGACACTGTTCAAATAACCAGGGGGATTGGGAGAGGAACTAATTTATACATATAACACAAAGTATTATTAGAGGCAACAAGTTTAAATGGTATAATCTTGCCATGCACTGGAATTAGCAGCAAGATTATCATTTAGACTAATAACATTAGCCTCTCTAAACCTCCGTCTTCTAAAAATGAAGACAGAAGTATTTCATAGCTGTCAGAATTAAATCAAGCCCAGAAAGCTGCTGGGGACAGCCTTGGCACGCAGCACAGCCCGCAGACATGGGCGCTCATCTTCCTTCTTGACGCGGAGCCACACGTCATCTGCTCAAGGGTGTGTGTCTTTGGTTCCGCACGTTTCAGCTTTCTCTCGTTTCACACCTTCTGGTTTCCTCTCCTCTCTCTTTCTACCACTGAAATCCCATTCCAGAATTCAGTCCCAGTGTTCTCTCTCCTGGAATCTTTCTGATTTATCTCCTTATGCAATCCAAAAATGAATGTTCCCCTCTTTAAAGCTCCATGGCTCTTAGTACCTCTCATTCAACACATCAGCAGCCTCATCTCTGACACAATATGCTACCACTCTCCTACATATAAGAAGTGATGGAAAAAACTTGCTAGCTACACCCCTGAGGTTTCTTCTAAGTCTGAAATCACCTATCAAGATTTCGAAAGCAGAATGTAGATTGTAGCCAGCCAGCCAGTCCACAAATATTTACCGTGTGAGCACTGAGCATCTATCAGGTTCCTGCCATGTGCTGCTCACAGCTGTCAACAACACAGACAAGGTCTCTGTCTTCAGCTTGCAAAGAAGATAAACGTTATGTAACCAGGGTAGGGGCAGTGTGAGGGGGTGGAAAGCATACCGTTTGTCCTTCCAGGACACACACAGGCTTTGGAATTGAATCACCTGGTTTGAATTCCCTACTACCTACTGCCCATGAGACCTTAAAACAAGTTGGATGAGACTAGGACTTAACATCGCAGGACTCCTGTGCAGGTCAGGGGACAAGTCATGTGAAGATTCAGCCCAGGAAAATGGGAGCAAGCACCAATAAGTGCGATACACAGCTATTAAATAATTGTAAATCATTAACTAATTGCTAGTGCCAAGTACTAAAACAAACAAGGATGCTTTGTTATGTGCTATCTGAGCTAATTCCAAAAGCGACCTCCCTAGTCTGAGGGCTCAAGGACGGCTACCTCCAGAAATGACATTTAAGCTGAGATTGTGAGCAGAAATCAGCCAGGCAAAGAAAGGTGGGGAAAGAATGTTCGAGGCCGAAGAAACCAAGCAATGTACAGCTGTTGGGCTGGAACAAGCTAAGAAGGGCTAGACCAAGCAGCACCTGTGAACAAGAGCAAATCGGAGAGCTCTGAGCAGAAGCGGCAAATCATACCGCGAGTTTAACAGACCATTCCAGCTATCATTCAGTACAGAAAATGACTGAGCGGAGAGAGACAGAAACTCGTGAGAACTGTCATCCTGCAATCAGGGCCCGAGTGTGGCAAGATCACGATCACTTCAGATCGGGTCCAGGGCGATGGACTGTGGTCAAGAGAGGCAGAACCACTAGAGAGCTTTTTAGTTGGTAGAATCAACAGGACTGGTGACTGACAGAGCTCGAAGGAGCAACAAGGATAATGCCGGGATCCTTGTGGCAGGGGAGACAGACAGCTGTCACTGCAGAGAATGAGAGAAGGAAGGAAGAGAAGTGTTGGACAGCACAGAGCCTAGCTGAGGCTAATGACCGTGAATTGACAGCAGTTGCGTCCTGACCGGTGTGACACTTGCAGGCTTGATGCAAGCATAAGCCCAAGTGCGGGATTTCTCCCAGGCAGCACAGAAGGAAGGTGGAGGCTGACAAGAGAATGGCTAAAATGATGGCCCATTAGATCCAAGGGCGTGGACAGAGGCGGACAAAGCGCAGTTACATCCCATTAATTTAATGACTGTTCTAATTACTGAGTTGAGCTGACAGTACAATGCTCTAAAATATGACATGAAATAAGCGGCCAGCTAGCCAGACAAATACATTTTTATTCTTTTGAGGTAGCAGTATTGAAACTATGCAAATAATCTGCTGCACAAATGAAGAGTGCCCTCTTTAAAAAGTTTACATTTATTGCACTTTCTAACGATCTCAGGCAACGGTCACAACCCTGTGAGGCAGTGAGAAAACTGAGGTCCATGCGACTAATGACTTGCCAGAGAGAACACAGTGAAACCCAACTGCAGCCCAGAGCCTCAGGGGCCAAGTCCCCCCAGCACTCACCAGTAGTCATTCCTGGTAGTTGCTCATACAGTCCTTAAGCCTAAGCCTTTTATTTGTCCCTTTAAATTCTAAGCCTATTGGTTATACCTTAGAACACTTCAAGGGCTGTCTCCAACAAGGATGGTGTGTATGACAGGGTTAAGAAACACTGGGGACAGTGGCTGGGAGCAGGCTCCAGGAAGGTTCCCCGGGGTTGGCAGCCTGGCTGCCCAGTTCCTCGCTGTGCCTGGGAACATATTACCTACCCTCCTCTTTGTTTTTCAGCGTCCTCCATTTTAAAAGTGGAGCTAGGGCAACCCCTTCAGGTCCCCTCCTGCTGTGGGAACTTTTCTGTCCTCTCAATAAATCCTGCTTTCTAAAGAAAAGAAAAAGTAAAACAAAATAG